AATAAGGATTTATTCTGCTGAAAGTAGTTTAAACTCTTGTTGTGTTGTTGCTCTCTGTCTTTGCTGCTCTTCTTTTCTCTCCCTGCCTGAAAGTAACTCACGCTGCCTTAAAGCAAAAGCTTTGCCTTTTAAAGAGCCACAGCGAAGAGAGCGAGCTCCACTGAAAGAGTGGAATACATCAGCACATCCGCTGTGGCTGTTAGATGCTTATTTACCGAGAGCAGTGGGGAAGCACGGGGGTGGGGAGGGGAATGGAAACAAGGCAACACAATGAATGAATGAGTGAATGAGTGAATGAATGAAGGCTGCAGATCATCACACAGTGGATACGGTGCAGACACTCTGCAGAAACTCAAGTCAAGAATGCATTTCATTTTCTCTCCGAACACATGCCAAACACAAATGGACCAGAGCCGAAAGCCAAAACAAGACTCTCACAAAGCAGCAGGTGCTCGGTCACGGCGAGGAAGTCAGCCTCTCTGTGACTAATGGCTGAGGTGTCTGTGGCATCGCATCCCAAACACACATCAAAAGACTGTGCTCGTTTTTTAAAAAATGCTTATTTTTCCAAAGTCAAAATAAGAACTTTTGGCATCACATTAAGGCAACACAGAAAGTGTTTTATAAGCTGTTATAATGGATTTATTAATGGTTAAATAAATCGCTGACTACAGATCAGTTATGAGCCGTTAATAGAAGGGGCTGTCACACTTTGTCTTCACCTCTCCGGTGGACCGTTTGACCATCTTCTGGAAAACAGCTGCAGCACATCTGGACCAAAAACCAACATTCATAAACTGCTCATTAACATCAGTAACTGAAGCCTTTATGCATCGTAGAACCTTTTATTAATGATTTATTACCATTTATAGCTGCAGGCAACAGATGAACCTTTGTTAATGGCTCATTAGAAACTGAGAAACATAATAATCATATAACATTTATAACTAAAAAACCTGATGATTTATTTTTAGACGTTATTATCACCATGGTATCACCATAACGACGATGCAGGAGAGTCAACATTTCACATTCACTGTCTTGTTCTCTCTACATTTTAAGTCCTTCACACAGATCAACATTAAGTAAAAGAGTATTTATTAATGAATACATTTTTCTGCAGTTGTAAATGTTAATTTGCATTTTATAAACAGAATTTGCTCCAGATTTCCTGCAGCTCTCTTCCTGAGGATAAGTGCTCGAACAGTAATGGAGAGTTCCACAACCTGGCAACCCAAAAGTTGTTCTTATAACAGATCTATAAAGCATTAGTAGGTGACTTATTAACCATTAATAAATCAATCGATTACAGCCTATAAACTGTTAATAAATGATGCTTTTCAGAAAGTGCTACCAACATTTAGTCGTGATGAACAGAGAGTATGAAATGTGTCACACACCAAAAGAAGAGAGTCCACAGTTAGAGATGTGCACATGGAGCAGCTAATGAGTCTGTTCATAATGCAGGAACAGTTACACATGAGTATGACACACACACACACACACACACACACCCATTAGCTATCCTTGCACACAAGGTCAGACAGAGCACTTCTCATTTGTAATTCAAGCTGCAAACAGCCCCGTTTGACCTCGGAGACAGTGACACAACCGTGGAAGACAGACGGAGAAACATTCATTAAAAAAACCAACGGTGAATTCAGAGCTGATGCAGGAAGTCGACAGCAGAGCGAGACTGAGCAGGAACCGGCGAGAACAACCGGAGAAGATGCAGCCGCCGAACGTGTATTTAACAAAGGGGGGGGGGGGAAGATGACAGTGACAATAAAGTAGAGAAAGAGACATGGTTATGGATCAGGGAAATCGTTTAGGGGAGATAGGCATGAAAACTGTTTCCAGGCAACAAACCAAAGACTGAAGACATTGACTGAAACCTGAGGTAGATTATGTTTCTGCAAACCGCCTCGAATAAAGCTTTTTGATCTGTTATTATTTAACTGAACCTTCATCCCCCCCCCCCCGCCCAGTGTTATAGAGAAAAACCTTTCTTTTTTTTCACTGTCAACAAATGTCATGAAGTGACCGACACCTGTGTTTCCAAACAGTGTCCGTGCAGCAGGTTGTTATGACCCGCAGTTACGTTTTGTTGCTAGGCGACATCTAGTGGTGGCAGCAATTACGACAGCAAAAAAGGAAAAGTGCGGCGACGCTGTGTAAAGCTCGAGGTTGGCGGTGGATGGATGTGTCCCACAGACACTGTCCTGGCGCCACACAGCACAAAATGTGTGTTAATCCACGGCTGAAAATAGTCCCCAACAAATGTCCGATTTACTGCCAGCTGCTAAAAACTACAGTGGCCAGATGTTTCAGGAAATCACTGAGACTTTTAAAAAATGTGAAACGACACGCTAAAATAATCACAAGAAGTTCTACGTTAAATCCGTCACAGATGTAATGTTGGTTATTAACGAGCTGGAGGAGATTCTCACACTGAGAACAAGCAGCTGTCTCGCGGTAACGATTGTTTGTTGATTGTTTTGTTTGTTTCTTCGTGTCATTATTGTTTTTCTTAATGTGCACAGTTTGTCTTTTTTTGTGTATTTGTGTGTTTTTTAACGTCTACTGTATGTGCCCTTCAGATTTCCCCCTGGGGATAAATAAAGTTTCTTGACTTGTAACTGCAGAGCAAAGTTGACTCAGTATCGTGTCAGTGCTGTGTTGACACAATCAATAATAGTATATGGGATGTCTTTAAAAATTTACATCCTCTGTATAATAAAGTAGCTCTGCCACAGAGAGGGTAGAAAAGTCAGACAGTTTTGAGAGTCTGATTAATGTATTTTTTATTTTTTTTGCTCTTTTCATGGGATTTGTTGACAGTCTGAAAAATAATGCATTATTCCAGACCCATCCTTTCCTGCCAATTATATAAAAAAAGAAGAAAACATTGATATGAAAGTATAAAATCTGCTGGAGCTGGAGCGAATCACGGCTCTCTCCACTGCAGACAAAGTTTGTAGTATTTGTAATTGTTAACTCGGTTTGGCAGCATATTACTCGTTGTTGTGTAATTACTGCCGGTCGCCTCTCGGCCCCTGAGCCTCGCGCCTCGTTCCTGGTAGCGTATCCAAGCTCAGAGCACTGGATGACATCAGGGCCGAATCCCACGGGATGAGAGAGGAAGCGAGAGAGGCGGACTGTGGGGATTTTGAGGAAGGTGGTCTTCACCTCTGTTATTTGGCATCACCTGATATCTCTGCTGTCACTCCCGGAGAGGATTAAACGAGAGAGGAAGTGTGTGAGCGTGTCAGACGAGGGAGCAATTAGCTAATGAGAAGGATCGTTCTGCTGCTAATCTGAGGAATGACCACGTGTTAAGTCACTGAAACATGGCTCCTCCCCTCTTTATGTTCCTTTTTCTCGCTGGTTTGATCAGTTCCTTGTCTCGACTCTTCGTTTCAAACTGTCTCTCGAAAGAGCTCCAAGCAACACAGGCGATGAAACAACACACACACACACACACTTCACACTTCACACATCATCGTTAGGCCATAAAATATTTAATGCGGGGGTCTCGGGGGCTCTCAGAATTGATGAATCAATGAGAACGCCAGAGTGCCGAGTGATAAATAGTCCATTTTAGACTGTTCCCCCATCTACATGCCCGGGGCCATTAACTGAAAATGCACTGGCAAAATTTTCCACTTGGTATTTACGCATGCACACACACACACACACACACACACACACACACACACACACACACACACACACATCTGTCTTCTGCTGATCACTGATCAACAGTCTCAGAGTGGAGCTGTGTTTGTAAAGCAAGTAAACAGAGGATCACGCCAGGCATGTTCCCGCCTCTGCACAAGATTGTTACTGGAGGGAGGGGCGGATGTGCTATTGGCCAAATCAATTAATGAAACCTCATAAGGTTTTGTGATGGACTCTTGGCAGTGTTTACTTCTCCCGATCAATTCTTGTTACTGATCTGCCGGGCTTCCTCGCTCTGGAAACCAGCAGCTGTGCCTCCAGCGGTCCGGCTCCTCTCTCACGATCAAGCCGCTTTCATGTGCGTCAGTTTGAATATTTCGATAGAAATGAACTCTGTGTTTTCTCTTTGAGGAATGTTGAATCCTTACAAAGCATTGTGTGACTCTTGCTTTGAGTGTTTACACTTTGTTTACACGCTGCAGATACTGGAGATACTGTGCAAATTTAAAATGTCTGAAGTTTTCAGTGTTATCCTTGGAGCTTTTCTCTTGGCTGGACTGTTAAAGTCTCTGCAACATTTAAAAAAGTAAAATACAATTCTCAATAAAAATTCATGATACTTTGACAAGAAATAGAAATAACATGATAACATTAAAGGTCTCCTACAGTGTAAAGGTCTGTGTCCATGTGTAGTGTGATTATAGATCAGCTCTAGCTTCTATATTAATACTGTGAAAGTATCAAAGCCTCAGTCCACAGAGAAATGCACACAGCCTGTATTCAGAAACTGAGCCTTAAAACCAGCCGTCAGGACTTCTGGAACTTTGTGATGTCACAACAAAGCAGTCACCAAGCCCCGCCCACCTGGACCCACCATCCAAACCTTGCAGGATTTGGTTTCTCTGAGTGTTTTTACCTGAAATCTGCTGTATTTTTTATTGGATCAGTCAGAAAACAGTCAGCCAAACAGAAGAGAGGCTCAGAGCCTCCTCTCTTCTGATTGGCTCACCGACCTGTTGTTACTAGAGCTCCAGAGAGAAGCCTGAGAGAGGAGATGTAAAACTACACTGAGATGGTTTTTATATCTTCTGATGGATCAACACTTTAAATAAAACAAAGGACCTTTAACAGTACTTGCATCAAACTGTTTTGTCAGCGCTTCATATTTAACATATCAGATGATGTTGAATGTCCACCAGCTTATACAGGTGTGGGTCAAGTCCTACATCAGATGTAATGGATCTGAATTCTCAAGTGAAATCAACTTCTCCTCTCACCGTCATGTTGATCACTCTTTCCTCTCTCTCTCTCTCTTACAGACAGCAACTTTGTCCTGGGAAACGCCCAGGTGCAGTCACTCTACCCCATCGTTTACTGCTCCGACGGTTTCTGCGAGCTCACCGGCTACGCCCGCGCAGAGCTCATGCAGAAGAGCTGCGCGTGTCACTTCCTGTACGGCCCGGACACAAGCGACCGGCTGACGGCCCAGATCCAAGGAGCCCTCGATGAGAGGAAGGAGTTCAAGACCGAGTTGGTCTTTTACAAGAAGGAAGGTGAGAAATCACCTGTGTGTGTGTGTGTGTGTGTGTGTGTGTGTGTGTGTGTGTGTGTGTGTGTGTGTGTGTGAGCTAACGTTGGCTGAAAACTGCAAAGAGTGCAAAGTGCTGAGTGCCGAGTCCTAAAACCTGGTCTTCCAGTTCCCTCGTTAAGATGAGCTCAAGACTTTTTTACGTTTTATTCTCCGACATTAAATACGGCGGTCCTGAGTCGCTAACAGGAGTCTCAATGAGACTACAGAGGTTGAACATGAAAACCGATCCACTCACCTGTCCAGACTTTGTAAGAGGGAAGGCTTTTGTAGAAGAAGTCAGAGCTAAATCAAGGGGAAGTTGAAGTTTAGTGGTGGTGACGCTGAAGTCATGTGACCGAGGAGCAGTTGGTTTAACATTAGCTTTTTACTTCTGCTGATTGTATTCAGGCCTCAAACATAATAAAGAGAGCTCACAGTAAGTGCACGTGTGCGCAGGAATACGGTAGTTCTTCGGTACAAAAGTGTGGACACCTACTGAGTCGGTATTTAATACTTAAATCCATAAAATATGTGATCTGCCCAGAGGTAAAAAAAAAAGGTAATAAAACAAATTCACATATGACTTAAAGAATAAACATAGAATATACTTAATATGTACTGCACATGTAACTCTGTGTGCACCGAGAGAATGGATGTCTGAAGTACTTCATGAGCCATGCATGTGTTAGAGGACATTTATATGCAAATTTGAAGGAGCTTTTATCTTACAATGGCTACCTCACCCTCTGTGCCACAATGCCTCAGCAGTCAACAGTCAGCCAGGCAGTGGTTTTAAATGGAAGAAAATCCATACAATTTCATACGAACGCTTTCAGTTTGATGAGAGTCCGGACGCTGTTCACTTCCTGTGGATCGTCAGAGCTTCAGAGTGAGCCGAGGGAAGAGATGAGACGCCGTGTGAAGTGTGAAAACCAGAGAAAAAGAGCAACTGGGAAACGGGAATGTGAGAAATCTTGACGGAGGGCTGTGAAAGAAGAAGAGAAGAAGAGAAGAGTCATCCTCTCTGTATTAATCACGCCTTTGATTTATTAATAATTAACGATGAAAGGGATGAAAGATGAGCGAGGAGGTAAAAAGAGGCGAATGCTCGGTCCAGAGTGACAGTCACATCCTGTGTGAAGACGGACGCAGAGACGTGGACACGTCTGCTCCTCTGAGATATAAGCCTGTACAGAGAGCAACAGAGGGTTACAGAAACAAACACACACAAATTACAAATTACAAGTGTTTCATGCCTTTATCAGCTCTACATGAGCTCCGCATTAGCATTTAAACAGTTCTCCAGGGGAGCAAGGAGAAGAATAAACACATTCATAACCAGTCGCCTCACTCAGATCACCACAGCTCTCTCACTAAAGAGCCCAGGGCGCAGTTTGAACACTGCATTTTATCCACCGAGTACACACTCATAATATATTCATTCAACTGCGTTCTGATGTGAATGTACAATATAATACATTTTCCAGTAACCCTTTTTAATCACCAGCCACTAAACACACAGGAACGACGGGGAATAAATAAAAATAAAAAGTACTGAGTAATGTTTGGTTATTAAAGTGAGTAAAAATGCAAACAAAGCACATTCACTTCTGACTGTACTTTTTTATATGGTGTGCATTTGGATAATTGCAACATAACTGGAAATATCCTGAGTGAAATATCAGTTTAAAGTTTTCATTTGTAAATATTATATGAAAGAAACTGTAAATATTAAACTTTACAGTGAAATATTGGTGACATCTTATTTGTTTTTCTAAGAAAAGTTGTGCATACTTTAAACACAGCAAACACCACACTTAAATATACACCTGTATAAAAACATATATACATATATAAAAATGAAAGAAATACATATAAAGAAAAACATTTGCTAAAAAAATTCCTTGTCAAAAAACGAGACAAATTAAAATAAGACTAAAGACCCATTTGGACTTTACAGGAGGAGGCGGGGAATTAAATATTCCCTCTGCTGGAAGGTAATTTAACTTCTACTTCTCAGAGTCATAACTCAGTCAAACGTTAACGCTCAGACATGAAACACGTATTGATATGATCAGGTGTGAGTTACACTTCGCGGAGATATCATTATCTCTGATGTCCGTCACAAATAAGTGTCCATCTATCCAATTAGAAATCAGAACTTGCCTGATAAATCACATTTTTGAGTCCTGCTCTCTCTATTGCTTTCATTTTTCTCTGTGATATTGGTTCCCAATCAAAATTGGTCATGTTGGTGTTAGCATGTTACTTGTTACCCGTGTGTGTGCAGGGCTTGTATTTTATCTCTTATTAATCACCAGCTATGTTACTTAATCAGATTAACCCCCCTAATAACCCTCTTTGAGTAATAACTCTGTGCTCTGATTAATTAATAATAATCAATATATATTCACGACAGCCTTTCATCCTTTATCCTCGTACCTCGCTCATAGTTATACATGGAGAGGCGGAACAGAAGACGGTACACGCTGTCGCCTCGACCACTATTGTTTACCGTCGTGTTCCAGTCAAACGGGGACAAATCCAGCCGCAATATGGCTGATGTTTTTATTGAGGTAATCCTCCCGCTTCTTTAAATGCATTATGTACATACATGATCCCCTGTTGGGAATTAGCTGCAGGAAACAGTATGCAGTGTACCAAATGTAGAGTCAGAGATCACAGGCGAGTAACAGGAAACCAAAACAGCTTGTTTTTAGCCTGATTTCATGCATCTATGTAGCAGCCAGCAGGGGGTCGTTCTGTTTGATAAGTTTATTTAAACGATATTAAAAAGTTGGTGTTTCTCTTGTTAGAAAACCAAAACAACAATGAATCAGCTCTGCTAATGAAGTATTGTCTCTCTAGCCGAAGTTTAATATATCTTATTCCTCCGTTGTTTTCAAAAACTATTAAAATCCCTAATCACAAAAAACATGTTTACTCTGATCTGTTCTGTTTGGGTTGTTTGTCCCATTCTTCTGAACGCAATATCTCACTAACACCTCGAGGGAATTTCTTCAAATTTGGCAAAGACATTCACTTTGACTCAAGGATGAACTGATTCGAATTTGGTGGTCAAAGGTCAAAGGTTAAGGTCACTGTGACCTCACAAATCACGTTTTTGGCCATAACTCACGAATTCATCCGCTAATTATGACACAATTTAACTCAAATGTCTTTAAGGATAAAATGAAGTGAGACATTTTATACCCAAAAGGACAAAGGTCAACTTCACTGCGACATCATAATGTTCTGTAAAAACACTTCTGGCCATTATTCAACACTGTAACTCAGGAAGGAGAGACTGTGACTATATTTCCTGTAACTTGGCTGGATGGCGGAGGGATACAACCGTGAGGAGGTGATTCTAGTTCCATGAGGTTTTCTTTCAGTAAGAGAAAAAACCTTGAATAACAACCTCGACGCAGTAACACCAGGATGGTGGAAACTACGCACTGACTGTCCATGTTTGCATTTGTGTTCTCTGCAGGGACGCAGTTCTGGTGTCTTTTGGACATTGTACCCATTAAGAATGAAAAGGGTGAGGTGGTTCTCTTCCTCGTGTCCCATAAAGACATCACCGACAAGAAGAAGGACCAGGATCCGGAGCAAGGACCTGACACAGGTGAGTTTGTATGAGTAACAGCTGCTGACAGTTCTGCTGAGGGATGGTAAAAGACGACTCAGACTTGTCCTCAGGCTCCTGAGACACGTCCAGACTCCAGTGCACTTGCAGACGTAACAGACTTGCCAGGAAGTCCAAATCCACAATCCTCATGCAAACTCTCTGCTAAGCCATAGCAATGGATGGGTCGTTAAAATGAACAAATACATGAATAATGTACCATATTTATATTGACGACATCTGCCTTTTCCATTTATGTTTTATAAATTTATTGATGGTAGTAAATCTTCATATCATAAATACAGAATTTGAACAGGCTGAATAATTTAGATAATAATGATAATAATCTTTACCACTAATGTGGAAATGAGCCTTTGGCTTCAAACGCTGGTCATCATCATTGTAACTCACATCATGCACAGTCCAAACGACTGTAATGAACCTGATTCCAGGGTGAATGATGCTCACAAGTTCAACAAAGTTATTGCATTTGGTACACCACCAAAAAAAAAAACACTTTTTTACTATTGTTTACATGGTTTTTCATCACCACACACTCCAGCTCCTTCACAGACTTGATGTGATGACAGTGAACGCATCACTGACAAGCGTCTGCCAGGGATACGTCTGCAGGTTCAGACGGTGGACATTCAGATTCAGCCTTTGACTTTGTACCTGGGAACTTGGGAAAAAAGCAAGTCTGGGTCATGACAACAAACACCGTTTCCCATAAGCCCTGGGTGTTCACGGGCTTTGTGTCATGGCTCGACAGAAGAGGCGAGTCCACGAGTGACGAGCTAGTGGAACAGAAACTAGCCGAGCTTCAGCAGAGGAACCTGAACATACGCTCGTCTAAAAATACATGAAATCTAAAATAACTGAAGTCATTTAAAAAAAAAAATAAAAATGAAATAAATAAGTGATAAAATATTCTCGCTCTAAACTAATTCAAATGCTCTTTACAACAAAGAAGTCGCAGCATGTTTATATCTCCATTATGTCAGCAGTGCTACATTCTGGAGGCTGTTGTGGTTTTCATGTTTTATGATGGCTGATTCAAATAAAACTCTGCCATCTTTACAGTTTAGTTTGAACATCATCATGATTACCTTTCACCACTGGGGACGGCAGTTCGCCTCTCAGCTGTGAAGTGCCATGGCAGCTACTGCAATTTCAAATAAACAATTACGCATCAATTAATAACTTTAATTGCTTTCTTTTCATCCGCGCGTCGTCGTTTCCCTCGTGTAAATCTCACCCTGATTAAATAAGTGTCTGTCAATTTGAATATTACTTTGATATTAATGACTGCCTCTAATGAAATGCACAGGGCAAACCATAAACATCCTGTCAGAGATGACACACGGCTCGCCAGAATGAAATGTGATAAGGTAGATACTGGGGGGGGGGGGGGGGGGTCACAGTTGAAATTATCGTGCAGCATTTTTTGAGTTAATTAGAGGCAAACAAAACGGATTGAATGTAGGAGGTGAGTCGCTATCAGACAGTGACGAGACGAGTCGGGGCTAGCTGGTTAGCGTGCTAACTTCAGTAGTAGAAAAGACGTGATAGCAACAAGAGTTAACACTGCTGTTGCTTTCCACCTCTGGAGACAGATGTTGCTGAGTAAAGGAATGAAGTTTGATGCTAAACTCTCAACATTTCTTCTAGACTAGTGAGTAAACAGCTGTTAATGCTAAAAACGTTAGCTATGTAGCAATAGCAAAAACTTACAAATAGCTCCTTTAACCCTGTGGTTATTATTGTAACCATGACAACAACAACGTTTTAACCAAGTTGTTTTTGTCGCTAAATGCAACATAATCATAGTGTTGTTACATTAGAATAAAAAATTGATAAAAAAGTTAATAAACAGAAGCTTGGCAGGAGACAAACACACTGCAAAAAGTTTTTAACGAGGAAAAAATAAATCCAATAGAAGCTTTTAATAGAACCATTTTTAAAGCAGAACGAAGAAGAATGGAATCTCATTAATGAGGAGTTTACTGAGTTTTGTTGCAGCCGGTTGTTAAATATGGATCTTTTCATTACGGTTTAATTAGTCAAACATTTCTGTGTTTGACATTAATTGGCTTCATTCTTCTTGGGCTTTGGCTAAAAATAGTTACTTAATATTTTAGTGATATTGACCAGTGCTGCTCTCAGCTCTGTTGTAAACTGTAACTCAGCAGGATTCTGCATCTGTAGGTTTAAAGCAGTGAGCTGAGTCAGATTAGTTGCTTTTCGCCTGCGGCCTAAAAGTCATTTCACCAACAGGAACAGGAAATCTGACCAATAAAAACATATTTAGCTTGTGAATCTGTTTCACATTATTGATTGATCCTGCATCAGTTCCCACCCAGAGCTGTTTGTTTCTCTGGCCCATTGTGAAAACGGCATGAAATATCCCAGCATGCAAATATCCCAGCCCTGCAAAGCCTAAAGAGCATTTATGTGTTGAGGGGACTGTGCAGTCAATATTTTGTAATTCTGCAAACATTACAAACATTCAAATCTTAATTTTAAACTTCCAAATCCTCACTGAGTTGAGTACCAGCCCTGTGGAGAAGGAGGGTGAGGTTCAGAGTAATCAAGACTCTTAAGATGAAGTGCGGTGTTTAAAATTTAAGTTTTTTATTTTTTTTTAGATTGGCTTTCAGAGCCGCTGTCTGCAGTGCTTCCTGGTGGGAAAGAGCACCTGCTTGAAACCACTTACCCAATTTTCTCCCACTTGCCCAGGCTCTCTCATTTGGCTGAATATCTTATTGCCTTACTGCAGAAATGATTGAAGCCTGCTTTCATACACTCCAGCTGTGTTTTACACACCGCATGAGTTATTACATTTTAAATTCAAGCTCCCAAATTTGGAGTGCCGTGCACACGACGGGGGACAAACAGTGAAACAGACGGAAAGGAAAAGACGAGAGAGACAAGAGAGGATTCAAATGGTTTTCTATTTTCTGATTCATCACTGCGACACAACTATAACTGTTTACACTCTGATTGCAGCTAAGTCACCGTAAGCTCCTTTTTGGGATGTGAGAAGGAAATGAAAGATGGAAAAAGTGACGAACAACAAGCAAACGAAGGGAAGATTTTGACATTTACGATGTGATGAGTTGGCACAAACATTTACCTGCTGACTGGCTGAGCTGCTCACTTCTGGCTCTTAGCTCAGCGTGATGTGACTTTACAAAACGCAGCCGCAGAGGTTAGCGACATGAAAGGGGAGCGAGGACAGGAAGAAGCAGGAAAATCAAAGAAATAGTCTCTGACTGCTAGATTGTGCTCAATATACAAAGATCTGCACTGACACACATGGTGTGCACAACTACAACAAGCTCACACACATACGTATGCACACTGTGTTAATTGACTGTGTTAATAATTGAACATGTATAGCCAGCCCACTTTCCCACTAGCGCACACAGGCTCCCCCAGAGAACACACTGTATATTCTGAAAGCTATCAGTAGTCTCAGCATGAGAGGAAGAGTCCAGCCCGAGGCATGAAGACACCATCGCTCTCTTTACATTTCATCCTCCCAGTCTGCAACAGTGAATGTATGCCGAGCATTCAAAGGCGGAAATGCACAGAATCCTTCGATACACATGAGTTTCCATTTCCAGCCGTAACAACGTCCCGGAAACCTCAGCAGCTTCCCGCGTCTGCAGGAGTCACACTGACGTTATCTCAGTGTGAGTTCACGTCTCCCTTAAAGCCGTAGATCCGCTCTTTTGCACAGACTGATCTTCTCAGTTGGACGAGAAGATCAATACCAAGCTCAGGCAGTTAGCTTAGCATTAAGACTGGAAATAAGGGGAAGCAGCTAGCCTGACTGTCTGAAGATTAACATGTGATAGCTTCTTCATTTCAGCTGTTCAAAAGAATATAAAAAGAACAATTCACCATTTATTATGAGCTGGACCTTTCCTTAGATTAACGTCTTTACTATTTGTTTAAAATGGACCAGTCAGGCAAAAGCAGGTCCAAACCATAGACTGTAAGTGCAAGATGGACGTAGACTCTGTGACCTCACCTACAGATTTCTGAAGCTCAGAGTGAGCTGCTCCACCGTTTCCATCTTGGCAGTGTCTGACTCCATTAATCAATAGGCTTATCACATTGATAGGTCTTAAGCCCCTCCCCCAAGAAAGACAATGAACATTTTTAATGTTTTTAAAGATAATTTTGCTTTAGAACATTTAAAAACATTATTTATATTTTTTTATAATTACTATTACTATTTTATATTAGTGCTATTTTGCAAATGATTTGTCGGCCCACTTGTAATAACTTTTATACCAGTGGGCTCCGGACCAAAGGTTGGGAACCACTGCTTTAAGGTGTCAGTTTGCTCAAAATGAACTAGTCAGACAAAAGCAAGTCCAAACAGCCGCGATGAATTTCAAATTTTACCCGAATTTCAAGAAAATTGGCCAAAAAAAACGGCACGAGCTTCTGGACGACCTGATGGTGCATTCACTTGTCCAGATGAAAAGTGAGACAGATGGTTGTGTAATTAAGACAGAAAAAGAAAGCTTGTAAAAAAGAGAAGCCATGCAGCTGGTGGATCATGGCATGAAGTGGGTGTAATTGTCAAATTGTCGGTTTTCGCACAGTTACAGAAAGTGTTAGAGGCAACTCCATAAACATGCTGAGGAAGACTGGCCTCTCCTTCACCTGTAGCCCTGGTATCAGACCTCCCCGCCCCTCACACACATGTATACTGAAACAGTTACCAGACTATCGGCACTGCTGCGAAGCAAAGTTGTTCCTGAGATATTCAAAAGCCTGGGGTTTAAATGCAGGTTTCTCAGGGTCCATATGCTCTGCCATCTTTTATTAACAAGCAAAGGACGCCAGCCTTAAGCTAAGTGACCCCGGCCCACACCAAGCCCACTCTCTTCTAGGAGACGGTTAAATGAGGCCAGCTGGTGCCATAAATATGCAATCAATAGTTTATTATTAACATTTAAGATGAGAGCTGCTTCCAGTCGAGAGAATAAAGACGTTACAGTATCCGTCATTCTTACATCAGGAGCCCGTCTGTAGACCGCACCTCCAGACAAACAAGCTTTCCAAAGTCATGAAAGAGAACAAGAAGGGCGACTGAATCACACAGCACAGTATCCATATACTAGTAGTATATTATACCATAGGTATAAACAGAGGTAACAGAAGAATATCTCAGGCTGAAGCTGTTTCAAAGAGCTTTGATATCCAGGTGCCACCAAATCAATCCGGAAGAAAACACAACGGCTTCACAACACCAGCACAAAGTTTTGTGTTTGTGTGCTTACAAGCAACGAGGATAATTTAGCTCTAAAGCAACGTGACTTTATTTATTTGCGTCTTTATTTATTTGTGTCTTTATTGAGAGATTGGGGGACAAAAATCCATGTTTGAAAATCATCATTTTGCACAGAAATGTAGTTTTATGCAAAAACATTTAGGGGGGAAATTCCAGATGTAGCAGATTGTTAAAGTGAAAAAGAGGAAATACAAGCACTGACTTTAAAAAAATTAACCTTTCTTCAAATGTTTTTTTTAATTTTATTTCATGAATTTAAAGCAGTAAGCAGTAGCTGTGGTTCTTCAGTACAGTTAATCTTTGTTTTTCCCCAGACTGTGTTTCCCTGTTGAGCTTCAGATGGAAACTTTGGAAGATATCCATTTGATTTGTTTCATTTCAACTGTGGAAGCTTTTTTGCACAAACCCGTTTCAGTGTTCAGACACACTGTGAACCCGCCCTTTAATGTCTCATGTTTCCCATTGAAACAGGTCAGTGAGGCTCAGTCCCGAGTGAGAACCAGTGGGTTATTAGTAATGCAGCAAAAGCCACATTGATTTTTTTTTTTTTAAGATGAGCAGAGAAGCTGGTGTTTGGGGACGTTTCTGATTGTATTCTTAGTAATCTGAGCAGCATGAGTCATCCTCGAGGATGCAGCCAACAAATTCTACCTGGAATTTCTGTTTACCAACTGTAAAATTATCCCATCAGCCCCCACTGACCTTGAATCTACCCTCTAACTTTTCTTTCATCTCATAATACTCTGCTCCGATGTGACTCAGCAGACAAACCTTTATCTTCACCGCCGCTGTCTGGCTTCTCCCGTTTTAAAACTTCCCAGAAGAAAATCCGTCTTTGAACATTCAGAGTCGCTGTGCGACGCGACCAGCGTCGCCGTCCTCAGAAAGGAAAACATGCACCTCGTTTATGCCACACGTCTGTTGGTCGTGATGAACCTGAGAATAGACAGAGAGACAGACACATCTGCATCTTTGTGCAGTTTTAAATCTGTCCATAAATATTCCGAACAAATGAAATCTGCTGGCTACAAATGAAACACATTTGATTTACAATGGAGGGTGTTTGCCAAACATGACATCATGTTATGGGCAGAGGCAGGAAGAAGCACAATGGGAAATGTAATGTGGAAATGGACAGAACAAGGGAAGCTTTTGTGTCTGGACGACGGCTCCACAGAAAACAATCTACCGATTTAGGCTGCTGGGAGATCAGCTGACATTCTTTTACCTGCATGACAATTACTCAAATAGATCATCAAATTCTACCTTAAAAACACCTTAAGAACATGTTTAGTCAATAAAGAGCCACAAAGGCCGACAGCAGATCAATATCATATCAAATATTTACACAAAAACTGCAGCATCTGGCGCTGAGGAGCTGTGATCTAACTGATAGAGAATTCAACTCTAAAAACTGGAAGCGAACAAAGAGAGAAGCTTCTTTAGTTTGCTTAGTTAGCTTGGTCTGACTTGAGCTTCATGAGGTCAGACGTGGTCCTTTTAAAAGACACCTGTCTAATCTCTATCTGCAGGTTAAAGCTGCTCCAGTGTAAAGGTCTGTGTCCATGTGTAGTGTGATTATAGATCAGCTCTAGCTTCTATATTAATACTGTGAAAGTATCAAAGCCTCAGTCCACAGAGAAATGCACACAGCCTGTATTCAGAAACTGAGCCTTAAAACCAGCCGTCAGGACTTCTGGAACTTTGTGATGTCACAACAAAGCAGTCACCAAGCCCCGCCCACCTGGACCCACCATCCAAACCTTGCAGGATTTGGTTTCTCTTAGTTTTTACCTGAAATCTGCTATATTTTTATTGGATCACTCAGAAAACAGTCAGCCAATCAGAAGAGAGGCTCAGAGCCTCCTCTCTTCTGATTGGCTCACCGACCTGTTGTTACTAGAGCTGCAGAGAGAAGCCTGAGAGAGGAGATGTAAAACTACACTGAGATGGTTTTAAATATATCTTCTTATGAATCAAACACTTCAAATAAAACACAGAAGAAGAAGAAAACATGGAGCTTTAAGAGAAGCCTGTGTTCTTGGATTGAATACTAATCAATCATGTCTCAATCTCCTCCACAGATGAGGAGACGGGTCTGGAGGTGCATCAGGTAACTCGTCCCCCAGGCTTCAACGCCAACCGGCGCCGCAGCCGAGCCGTGCTCTATCACCTGTCGGGACATCTACAGAAACAAGACAAGAGCAAGCTCAAGATCAACAATGTGAGTTTCTATGTTTTTTTCGTTCAGTTGAATCCACTTCCTTGAAAAGTTTGGAGTAACTGTTGTGGTCAGGAACCAAAGAGGTTCATTATGTTTCATCTCATATCTCTGCAGTAATAAGTTGTTCGGTTGCCAGAGGATGCACTGCATGCCAGAATAGCCCCAGTTTGTGCAGCTCGTGTAATCATTATTTTTTACGTCTGAGACTTTTGCACTGATGACTAGATTCAAGTCACAGAGGTAGGAACATGTTTTTCTGAAGGATAAATATAGTACAAATCAAACTATATAAAAAAACCCCGTACAGGTTGTTCATCAACAAACAATCTGTTTTCGAAGACTCCAGGTTCTTCAGAGACTCTTTCATCCAGATGGAATCAAAAGTTCTTCCAGAAGTTTCTTTAATTGTTTCCCAAGTTGCTTCAACAACGCGTCCAGATCTGCAGTCCGTCTCAGCCTGGATCGTATTTTCATTATCACATGATACAACACACCTCCACTGCAACAGGTGGGGGGGTGGGGGGGCGGTCGCTGCAGCGGCGCAGCGTTGTGGTATCAGTGCAGTCACCGCTCTGTGGCTCTGCTGCAGTACAGTGGGCAGCGCGTCCGGACAGATGGCGTGAAGGTCGTCGGGCGTGAGCTCACTCCTGTTTGACTTTGGGGTAAAAAGAGCTCGACTGGACATTTCGCTGATGTCAGTGATTAAAAACAAGCTGCAGATTTAAGCAGCTGTTTACTGAGGGATTGTGTATATTTAAGGATGATTATCTGTTCTTGGTTTTTATTTGCAAACACTGGGAAATTGGTTATTTTGGAAAAGAATTGGTGAAAAATATGAAATATTGTGTAGTTTAACATTTTAGCCTTTTTTTTTTTAAATGAGCAGTTCTTTTGTTTTCACTTTCTATTACTTTTTTCAGAGGCAAGAAGACACTGTTAATGCTTCACAGTGTCCTCAAGATAAAATCTGTGTGAAAAAGAAAATTCTGATCTCTTCATAAAAATACCAAAGTCCTGAAACAGATCCTCCTTCGTTTGTGTGACAGCTGCTTCAGAGGTGTTGGTTGGTTCAGGTGTTGGATGGTGTTGACGGTGCTGTTGAACTGTGCTGCATTATAGAGGTGCAGCTTCTGAACCGGTGGAGGATTTGCAATGACTCCTCTTTTTCCCAAAGACCTTTTTATTGGCTTCTGAGCAAATAGGGAGAGTGTAGATTCGTGTAGTGCGTCACTTTAGAGAGCGTTAAAGAAGCGTGCAGTGACATCTCCTCCACCTCCCTAAAGGGGCCCCGTTTAGATTTAACACAACGGGGATCTGTGATTGGTCGTTAGATACGGCCATGTGTGTCCCCGCTTTCACCGATACACAGAAGAAAATAATAAGTTTGAAATAAGTTAATGTTTAGCCTCCAGAACGACCACACGGTGGAATCAGCACCTTCATGAAGGAGGATTTACTGCAGGACTGTAGGATTACACCGCTTTAGTTTTTGCTTGCTGTGCCTATTAAACTGAGTACACACTAATACTTCCCTGTCGTCTCCTTAAATATCTCCACAGTTCTAAAAACATTTTTCCACAACGTTCGACATCATCATCTTTTATCTGCTTTTTCCGCAGCTTCATTAAAACTCTGCAGTAAAACACATTTAAAATGAGCGAGACAGATTTTATGGCTGCGCCGTTACATCAAGTGGAAAACTCTAAATGACCTGTGAATTATTTTATATAGATTTTATACACACTGTAATTTCACCTGAAAGCATGAAGAGGTTCAGTAAGTGTGTGTTACTGTGTGTGTGTGTGTGTGTGTGTGTGTGTGTGTGTGTTTGTGTGTGTGTGGCTTGAGGGAGAAAGAGAGAGAGAGAGAGAGAGAGAGAGGAAGTGATGCTGACTCTCTCCCTGTCGTTCAATCCAGAACATGTTCGGGGAGAAGCCTCCGATCCCGGAGTACAAAGTAGCAGCCATTCAGAAATCTCGCTTCATCCTCCTCCACTACGGCACCTTCAAGGCCGGCTGGGATTGGCTGATTCTGCTGGCGACCTTCTACGTGGCCGTCACCGTGCCCTACAACGTGTGTTTCACGGTGGTGGGAGGGCGGGACGAAGGCGGCAGCAGCAGCAGCAGCAGCAGCAGCAGCGCCGCCCCTCGGAGCCCGCCCAGCGTCAGCGACATCCTCGTAGAGATCCTGTTTATTTTAGGTGAGAGAGAGAAGTGTGTTCACCTCTGCCACAACGTGACAAACACACACTCAGACACACACCTGAGCACTTCACACTAACACTGAGTTCAGTAATGAGAACAAGATTCAGTGGCTGTAAATCATCTATTTGTCAGACGGCCTGGATCTGAGAGGCTCGTCAGTCCTAACAGAAGTTTTCTCTAACTTTTTAATGATGCGCACACGGCAGTGAAAGGATATGAGCCATTCACAAGTCACCATTATGTCTCATTGCGAACTCATTTCCTAGAAAAACAGGCCTCTCTGTCCCCAGTCGTGTCCATTTAACTGTAGGAAACTTGCGTGAGCACTCTTCAATGGACCATTTGCCTTAATGGAAAAGAGCGAACACAAGCCCTCCGTCGATAAACTTCTGCAATGAAATTATACGAGGCACCCGCAGTGAAGTAGCCCTCTCCTGTCAGTCGATATCCCATTTGTCAGAAACTAATAGGCCGACCTGTTTATCAATACGTTCGCTCATCGAACAGCAGCGGATTGAAATCAGGCCTCCGATTATTCATTCTGGTCTGTGAGCGCGCTGCTTCTGGTGAATTAACCACATCCTCAAGACTCTGATTGAGACCTGAAACACGGAGTAGTGGTTCACTTAAAGGCTCTTGTCCATCACAACAGACTTTTTTGTTTTGTTTTTTTTTGCCAATTTTTGCAGATTTTAAAAAATGACTGGAGCGTTCACGGATGTTCCAGGATTCAGGATTTGAGAGACAATCGTCAACGTCAGAAAACAACCAGTGAGCGAACATGAGAGCCAAGAAATAGATCCTGATTAAAGCGAAGACGTGTCTTGAATTAAAACTAGAGCTTTTTAATCGTTGAGCCTCAAATGTCAGTGTCCTTCAGTGTTTCTCAGGAGGTTTTGAAACTGCCTCTGCTTGTAGTTACTTTGCACTTTAAAGCTTTTACAGTCTAATGGTCTAAAACACAAAAATATTAAATTTACTGTAATTAGACAAACAACAGCAGCAAATTCTCAAACATTTCAGAAGCTGAAACCATCATTTGGTCGTTGACTAACTAATTAATCAAGATTAAAGTTACGATATGTAACTTCTCCACATTAAAATGTCTAAAAATGACCAGAACTGTGTCGCTGAAGAGCAGCTCCCATTTAATCAATAAATAAATATATGAACAGAGTCAGTGTTTCTAAACGTTACGTCCAAAAGGCCAAATTCATTTCTTCTACATACATGTATGTACACTCTGCATGTTACGAGTCTGTGTTAAACAAGTCTTTCCCTGTTATTTTAAGGTGACTTGCGTGTGACTGGTTGAACACCCATTGCTCTACATGTGATTCATTGCTGTGTGATTATCATGTGACAGTGAGTGAGTGAACACTGTCGGCTTCTACTGTTGTTGTCGTCCTCTGCAGACATTCTGCTGAACTTTCGAACCACTTTTGTGAGCACGTCGGGTCAGGTAGTGTACGACGCCCGCTCCATCTGCGTTCACTACGTCACCACCTGGCTCTTTGTCGATCTCATTGCCGCCCTGCCCTTTGACCTGCTGTATGCTTTCAACGTCAGCGTGGTGAGTCTCCTCTCTGTGTGTTACCGTGTCGTCCGTCTCTGCACGTTTGTGTGTCTGCAAAGTGCGACAGGATGACAAAGTGTGTGACAAATCAGGCTACTTAATTCACCACTTGCATGTGGACGTGCACTCGTGTCTGCTGCATTCATTTTCCACACTGACACACCGGCGGTAATGAGCCACATTTGGAGAAAAGGGAAAGTGAGTGCACAGTGTCGTAGGCTCCCGTGTGCATTTATTAGACCAACATTTCACCCAAACTGTTGCTCATCAGACAAACAAACGACACAGAGCCAATCTGATGTTGCCGACATGCTACAGCTCTCACTGATCTGTGTTTCCATGCTCGGGATCCTGAGGGATGTTGAACTGCAGGGTGAATTACTGCACATGCATGTAAAACGAACACTGAGACGCTTTTTGCAATTCTGGTTTGCAGCTGAAAAAAGAAGAAGAAACTAAAAATGCATCTTTAGAACAAAACTGTCAAAAACATCGTTTTAAAGAATAGATCTTTGGGCACCTTTGCAGACTAGTTTCTTCATATTAAAGACATAATGAAGGCTGCAGCAGTGTGTGTGTGTGTGTGTGAACTGATGAGGTGTGTGTCTGTCTGCGCAGTACTTCGGGGTCCACCTGTTGAAGACGGTGCGGCTGCTCCGGTTACTGCGGCTGCTCCAGAAGCTGGAGCGCTACTCCCAGTACAGCGCCGTGGTGCTGACTCTGCTCATGTCCATGTTCGCCCTGCTGGCCCACTGGATGGCGTGTGTCTGGTACTTCATCGGCCGCAGGGAGATCGAAAGTCCGGGCTCCTGGGAAATTGGTTAGTATCCACCCAGTACTGTATTTACTGTAAGTATAAATCCGAGGTAATTGTACTTTCTATTTCATGTGACTTAGTAACTAGTGACTTTACAGATTCAAAACCTTCATACAGCACATGTCGTCGTCTTAGCTTAGCTTAGCATAAACGCTGGGAATAGGGGGAAGCAGCTAAGCAGGCTCGGTCCGAGGGTAAGAAAACCTGCCTACCAGCAGCTCTGAAGCTGTTGGACAGAGCCAGGCTAGCTGTTTCCCCTTTGTTTCCAGTCTTTGTGCTAAGCTAACCGGCGTCCCAGAAATGTCAAACTATCAATTTAAGTAAAGGATGTAAGTGCTCCTCCCACACAGACGCACTTACTGTACAGACCTCAATCAGCGAAGCCACTTTAACTTTCACTTGTTGCCATGTTGTCGAGGCCAAATAAAATGTTCCCATTAGGTGTTTACAGTAAATGGCGCTCTCCTCAGATCTAAATTTAGTGTCTGTGTGGTGGGAGTGAAGCAGCTTTATGGCCCATTTTCTCTGGGTGGAGAGCTTTTAGTGTACAGTTTTATATTTCGCTCAAGTTTTTAATTGTCACTCTGCATCTACTGTAAATACCCTGCCAGACACCAGAATTTCATTTGGGCAAATCGAGCACATCCACAGCATCACAGTTAGAAAAGACGGGGAAACTCTATCACTCTTCTCAATTACAGCGTGGGCCGTGTCCTGAGGGAAAGAATTTTAGGGCTCCCAGATGCAGATTAAATGACATCTCATCTTATTGCAGCCAGACTTTGTTCTTCGCCGCGATGAGCCGAGTTCAGGTTCACGTAAGAATCTTCAGCTACCGCGTCTCGCTTGAAGGACGGGATCTGAGACCACACGTCTCTAACCTCAGCACAGCGATCGCTGTAATTTTGTACTCACAACAAGAGCAACTCCCACCCCCCCACCCCACCCCACCCACCCCACCCCTCCCTCTGTGTGTGTCTCAATTTTCAGCACAACCGATGCTTTTAATAAGATGCAGCCTTTGTTTGATATTCCACGAGCTTCTCTCAGAGGAGGATCTCACATCCTGCGGGTGACATGAAGCCCTGGCACACAATCTGATAAACTTGTAAACACACACAAAGAGTCGGGGGAAAACTTTCATCCTTTTCACCGTGAACTGGAGCAGAGATCGGCATCGGTCCTGCTCTTTCATTCTATTCTACCTGTTACTTCTCATCCTTTTTCTATTCACAGTGTATTCTTCCTGGTGTTCTCTCGCCAGCTGTCTCCCTCCCTCCATCTCTCTCTCTCTCTCATTGATTTGTACCAACCTACCTATCATTATCCTTTCAGCAAACCACAAAATGACAGATAGTAACAAAGCAATCAATTCATGTCACCGCTCCCTCAATTTACTATTCAGACAGATGGAGGGAATCCAGGAGGACGACAAAGACCGGTCCGCAGCCCGACCTTTGTACGACACCAGCTATGATGAACAATACAGCTCTGATATCGGCATGCAACATAGACTGAGCTGCTCTATCTGTCCGTCAGTCAACTGGCCGCTTCTTGGGAGAGCTACGGTTTTTGTCTGCAGGGCTATCAATAATTCAAGGGCAGCAGAGTCACGGCCCTCCCTGCAGCACACAGGCCGCACACAGTCTGCTCACCTGGACGCAGACATGGACTTACAGCATGTTGTCATGCAGACTGTAGGTTCACAAAAGAAGCTTTCGGCGCATGACTTTAGGGCGACCGCTTGTCGGAAAATCCAAATTTCAACAGCAGCTACCACTGCTGAGGGCGATGGCTCAAGATTCCTGACAGTTCAGCAAAAACAAGCCAGAAACAAACAGTTTAATTTTTAATATCTTCATATCGGCCACAAGGACATTCACCTCTGATTTGAGCAGCTGTATCTTAAAGTTTAGAGAGCTGAAGTGAAACAGAAAACTTCCAGGTTTTGCTCCAGAAGTAAGACTCAAAATCCCGTTGACATTTAGAACAAATCTAATAACTAAGAATCCAGCCTTGGAACAGAGTTTCTCAACAGTATGTTGTGTCGCTCGCTCCATATCTTCAGATAAAGATGGTAGGTTTTTAGAAAAATGACCCAATTTCATTGTTTATTTGATATTTCAGTTTTTTAGCAGCCGTGAAGCCAATTTGTCCATTTGTCTATGGAGTAGTAAACTAAAGGAACATTTTCCTGAAAGACTGAGTTACAGAACCTGGTGAAAACAGCTTGTTGATTCAGTTCCACTCTCTGTTAAGCTTCTGTTATTCTGTATTTTTCTTTTTGTCAGCGAATTCCATAAAAACACTTAACAATGTTAACCCCGTGACAATCAGCTCCTGCATATAACTTGTTTTGTTTTTACCTCCAACATCTGTCGACTGCAGTTTTTATCTATTGTAAAAAAAAATACTGTTTTTGTTGGGGACTATTTTCAGCTGTGGATTTATACACATTTAGCTCTCTAGTGTGGATTTACGGCGCCATGATGGCATAAGTGGTATCAAATGAAAATAAACCACAGCTGCTGTGTTTGCCATAATGAAGGAACATGAAACCCAGTGGCTCTTTCATGTGTTTTTAATATTTAATGTGGGTTTAATTGAGCTCTATGACACAGAAGAACAAGCCATATCTGACTGATATGTGGCTGTGGAGGCAATACTTTGTTGACAGTAATACAGAGCATCACCAGCCTCGTCCTTTTAGGCACTTTGTCAGCTGTGGAGGCTCGGCTCAAAGTCAGGAGGAGGCCGCCCTGCTTGTGGCTCTGTTGTTTCAAGACATCTTTGACACAAGTAAACAACACTGACAGTAACCGCGTTTTTAATGACAATGTATGTGTACCTTGTGAGTTAAACCGTCCAAAGCTACCAGACAAGACAAATGTTCTCATCTGAAAGCAAATTTAACTTAAGTTTTCCCATGATGACCTGCCGTTTGTGGACGGAGGGTCATCATCGTTTATTTGTCTGAAGAGTGACGGGCAAAACGTCTACCTGCAGAAGAGGTAGTGTCGGATTTTTGATGATGTTGTGACTCCTTTGCGGGGATGATCGCTTTCCATAATAACTTCACGCTAGCGGACTAGCAAGACATCTAGCTAGCTAAACAGACAGTTGGCAATTTGTATGTAAGAGTAATTTGTGGAGTAGTTTATACTCTGACAGAGAAGCGTTATATAAAACTGGATGGTGCATCATGTGATATATTATCCTCCATGCTGGAATCTGTCAATCTCCGTTTGCTCAAAGGTCAGTAATGTCAAATCAGTTTGCGACCGGTTAATGGTGCAAATTCACGTTTCAAAGTTCACTAGCACTGAACTCCTCACCTGCATAAATGTGCCTTAAAATATGGTCAGATCGTCATCACAGTTACAAGAATGAAGAAACACAATCTATTTTAACTAAGAACACAGTTAGTTAGGAGTTATCAAACCTGCAGTCTAGTGAATGACACCAAATGGAGGTTTTGGTTAGAGACAACGGTCCAAAGTGCCTCTGAACATTGCGCAGGTCTGATCAGCAGCTACTGAAAGAGCTTGTTTAAGGTTATTGCTCTCAAAGGAGGTTCGACCATTTTTTAAATCCAAGGGTTCACTTAATTTTTCCACCAGCTCTATGAATGTTTAATTGATTTGTTCGATAAAGACACTAGAAATTATAATTGCTCCATGAATTCAAGTGGCATTCATTTGATTCAAGTCCCAAATTTCACTGTAATAGATACTGGCGTGACTGCGTCCTTAGACAGAGTGGAAGACAGAGGTTCAGGACCACGGACAGCTCAGTCTGCCACACAGTGGTGGAATCAGCACCTTGGACAGAGGCAGAGCGGCTGCACTTAACACTTTAAAATAAGGCAACAAAACAGTTAATAAAGTTTATATAGTATAGTATATATTAGAAAATAATATAGTTAATATAGTCTTTCTGCTTCTGTAGTATTTCTGCTACTACTCTCAGTTACTCACATGCTTGCAGTGTTTCCATACTGTCACTGACTGTTAGGGGGTTAAGTCTGTTTTCTTTCATGTCTCCACGCAGGCCACTCACAATAGACCAGAGTTCACTGTTTATCTCTCGCATAGCTGTGTGTTTGACCAATCCCCATTGGCTGTGGCCATAGCAACCAAGGTTGTAGTAGATACCCTCAGAGATGAGAGGGGTGGAGGAGGTGAACAGCCAGTGTCTGAGGGTCTCAGGGTCATTTAGTTATACGTCTTGTCTAAGTAGGACTGAGGTCTTAAGAATGTGCAGCGTGACTTCATGTTTATGATTAGGTTCCCAGGCTCTTCACACATGTGTGTGGGTGTAGTAATTTGCTATGCTACGCCCCGGCCAAAGGACAGTTCATCTCTTTTTCTCCTTGATGCTTTTCAAGCTTCAAGATATCTGAGTTCTCCCAGACACTTCACTTCAACCTCCAACCTTCACAGACAAAAGCTTCTGCATTTCTCCTTGAAAAAGGAAAATAATTTCAGTTACTATAAAATCTTTATACCAGGATTAATAAGTAACGTGATAAAGTGACAGTGCGAAATGTAGTAACTCAAAAAAAAGTGGATTTAGTGTTGTTACTCTTTAACTGCCGCATGATTCATGATGATTTAATGCTTGAATGACTGCAGGGTGTACGGTACAGAAACACTCTCAAATGTCGCTCACCATTAAGAAATGTGAGTTTGTGTGATTAGTGAGAGGTGAATGGGTGAACCCGTGAGAACAGGTGACGCTCCGCTTTCAGAGAGCTTGATCAAATGCAACGCGTCTCATATTCACTCTTCTATGTAACTGGACTCCAGATAATTTCGTGGCATAAATGAATGTATGAAGTATCTGAAACTAATGAGCCCCCCTCACCCTCAGCAGTGTAACATGCGCACCTTCCACAGGCCTGGGAGGGAAATCAGTCGGGCTTGTTTTGCTGTGCAGGTAAATTCCAGGGAGGAATCTTGAGCACTTTAATAAAAATATATTGAAAACCAGTTGATGATGCTCGAAGCGTGATCGAATCACACGAACCCACAGTGACTCAATCAGTTCTTAGTAACAGGAATTCATGATACGTCCTGCATTAATTCATGCATTAAATCATTATGCAGTGCGTGTGTTTTGTACCTTTATTATAAAGTGTTACAGACACAGAGAGGCAGGCAGCTGCTTCAACTCCGCCGTGATAGAAAAACCACAATTTTCCAGTGGTTAAACTGATATGAATTGAATTGTATTCACCTTTCACTGCATTCGTATAGTGGTGATTTAGGTTTATTATAGTGGTGCAGTATCATCAGTAATGCTCCTCACATTCCCTCATGCATTGACCACACAAAGAAAAACCCTTTGTACCGTTATTGTTTTTTATATTTAGGTCCACGTGCCCGCAGCACAGTCAGGTCCACGTTTCCTCGGGGCGGCAGAGGTTAAGTTGAGCTAATGACAAAGTAATTAGGAAACTACTCAGGTGTTAAATCCGCTAATGTTGTTAGTTTAGCTGCTTGACTGGGACTCTGCTCACAGCTCAATTGTCACTTCTGCTTATTTATGTTGGCAGGCCGGTCTCACTGTCTGAGAGCACACACACACACACACACACACACACACACACACATACACACATACAGAAGGTCAAAGCCTTTTGCCTGAAATGTGTGATGCTGCAGATCAATGAACGGATGCATCCTTATTGTATTATTCATATTCCCTCGCTCACTGTCTCTCTTCTTCTGGTTCTGCAGCCTGTGACTCAGCTGGGCTTCACCACCCGACTCGTCTACTCCCAAACACTGTCTCTCAGTAATTTATTCTTCTTCTTTCACTTCCTACTTTCTACCCTTTCTTCCTATTTTTCCTTCCTCTGTCGATTTCTCTCAGAAGAAATTGAAATACAAACATGCCAGAGACGTGTTTTGGTGTAATGCAGTAAATATTCATTTCATATATTCATTGTTCATATACATCAATAAATAAAACTATGAAGCTATAAAACTTCACAGACTCAGCAGTTATACTTTATACTATACACACATACTGTAGTTGTACCTAATTTACACAGAGCAGGTCTGGAACATACAGTGACTCACTGTGGCACATTTTCTATACAATTAAGAATCTGTTTTTCCTGGAAACTCTGATGGACATCGACGTCTGTTTATTAACTATTTCTAACTTACTTACTACATATTTTCCTACTTTTTTTTCTTCTCTAAAAACTTAGAGAAATATAATGAGTAGGTACTTCAACATAGCAACTGACACTTTCTCCATTTCCCTTATAATTAGTACCAAGTTGCATCAGCCTTTCTTTCCAAGTGTCTCAGTAATTATCATCTAAATAGCAGATAATTAGTAGGAAATTAAGAGGAAAGTTTCCAAGAAATTAGCTGGAACAAAAACAAATTAAAGGGAATATTATAGAAAAATGTTTATTTACATTATTTGTTATGTAAAGGAAATTAACATTGTTAAATACATCGTTATCAGATTTTTTACTTTTTTGAAAATGGAAATATTCAGCTGTGGCGTCAGGAGCAGTTCTGTTCTGATCATGTGTCAGTGCAGTTAAATAAAGGGATTTTTCTGAATTAATTTCCTGCTCTTTCTCTCAGGTTGGCTCCACGAGCTGGCTAAACGCCTGGGGACCCCGTACTTCCTGCCCCCCCTGGCCACGCTGGTCCCCTCCACAGTCAGCAGCCTTCCCGCCAACAGCAGCAGCAGCAGCAGCAGCAGCAGCCAGTGGAACGTGTCGGGGTCAGAGGTCGGGGGGCAGGGCTCCTGGAATTCCAGCCAGTACTATGGAAACATATCAGGGGGCGAGGCCGTGTCGGGGACGGGCACCGGCGGCCCGTCCATGCGTAGCAGCTACGTGACGTCGCTCTACTTCGCTCTGAGCAGTCTGACCAGCGTGGGGTTTGGAAACGTGTCGGCCAACACGGACTCGGAGAAGATCTTCTCCATCTGCACCATGCTCATAGGAGGTGAGAGAGTGTGTGTGTGACGTCTCACTCTGCTCATTATCTGGTGTCTGAAAAACATCGACAAGCAACTGAGCACTTTTCATTTGTCCATTTTCCCCCCCGTTTACCATCTCATTATTCTCTCCCTGTCGACTGAGAAGCTTTGTTTATTTGTTGTCAGGATATATTTAAAACTACTGACCAGGTTTCACTGGAAGTTGGTGTAAAGTTTAGTCATGAGTCAATAAACACGTCATTAGTTTCTGGTGCACGCGGGAATTTTTAAAAAATATTTCTCATATGTTCAAGACAGGAGATGATTTAATCCTTTCAACCTTTTTCTCATGAACTATTGGAAAGATCGTCCATCGCTTTGTACGTTTGTGTCCAGATGTTATCCAGATGCCGATTCAAACATCTATAATAGAATATCTTCTACTTTAGAAAGGAAAACAAACATAATGTGCAGCTTTGCTCTATTTGCTCAGATTTTGTGCGGAGAGTGAAACACATTGTTGGTTTTGGTCTTTTCGTGGGATTTGTTCGCAATAAGAAAAAGCTTCTCATCCTTTGCATTTAATTAAATCTGGGTTTTGGAGTGGGTGTTTTTTTGTGTGTGTGTGTTGCGTTGGTTTTTAATAACCTTGCACCCTCAGTGATTTGTGTACAGTATCAAAGGAGAAAGCTGAGCGAGAGAGAGAGAGAGAGAGAGAGCTTCATTAATCTCTCTGAAACGTATCCTCACACTGAGTTCAGAGCTCTCTGGCGGCGAGCTGCCCCTCAGCTGCGACTGGAAGATATTAGACGTTTTTACACCAGGGTTTTTTCCAGAATGTGAGGCGGGTCGCCGTGCCTGAAGGAGCAGTCATCCTGAAATAATGTCATTAGTCTGGGTGTCAGTGGACTGTGTAAGTGTCCTGCGGTCTGAACGCTGGTTCAGCAGCTTTTCTACTCGGACATTTATAGGGGCAGAAGAAGGAAACTGCTCTGCGACGTAGTCAGGAAAGTACATTAAAAACACAGTTCCAGTCCTCACTGTTCACATTCAAAGCAAACCAGTGAGAAACCAGTAAGTCCACACCGAGAACCAGCCCTCATACTGGGACTGGAGCTTTAGAAAAGTCTTTTTTTTTTTCACTAGAAATAAAGGATTTTTCCAACACTGGGATTATATTTTTTCACTGGTTTGTTTCTGCCATTTCTGTGAAAGCAGTAATCCACTTGAGGCGATGCTTTACAGCGGTTATAGAGCAGCTCAGTCATTTCCAGCCCTTTGCTTTCTAACTTGTTGAAGCGCATGAAGACCTCCCATAACGCTTCCTGCTGTGCAGAGGCATTATGGGATTTTCACGAGGGCCATCCTCGATTAAAGCCAATCAAATCGCTCTGTAATTAACTCTGATTCATATAAAAACACACACAGCAGAGTTAAAGAAACCCTCCTCCTGTCCTCCAGCGCTGATGCACGCCGTGGTGTTTGGTAATGTGACGGCCATCATCCAGAGGATGTACTCGCGCCGCTCGCTCTACCACACCCGCACCAAGGACCTGAAGGACTTCATCAGGGTCCATCGGCTGCCCAAGGCCTTGGAGCAGCGCATGCTGGAGTGTTTCCAGACCACCTGGTCAGTCAACAACGGGATAGACGTCAGCGAGGTGAGGACACACACTCCGAACCTGTTCTTCAAATTAAAACCGTAGCGACGCATCGACATTAAAGGGTCTCAACCTCTAACAGTCTTCAGTCCTGCAGAGGTTCCGTCTCATTTGCTCAGATTTTTAAAGATCTACATCTGAGATTTCTGCTCCGACGCAGTGGAGGGGAATTCATGGTCGTTCTCAACACACTGATAAATGACATTTGAAAAATGCAGCAGCAGCAGGAGACAGTCCCGATCACTCAGGAGAACAGCAGAGACTAGTTCCCAGTAAAAACACTATCTTGGTGATGATGATCTCGACAGCCGTGCTGGTGTCACCGCTCTCTCTGTTTCTCTTTTGTCCCAAATGAATCGCATTAACGGGCCATTAATTATGTCTTGCTCCAGCAATTAATGCAATATAACACACTAGTTAGTAAAGTCATTAGTTACACAGATGAAATTTAATAAAACAGCCAGAGGTAATTTCATTGTTTGAATAAGGTAGAAATAAAAGTACTGAGCGGCTCCAAAATAAATGTAGCTGCAGTGGAAGAAAAACATTTCATTAAATAATGAATTAAACTCTAAGTCTTGTTGTAAATACTGGAGACCTACAGGCTCCCCAAACAAAACAAGAGAAGTTCAGGAAATAAACCGTTCGTTCTTCTTGTGTAATTAAAATAATCAAAATAATATTTCTCATTAAACACGGAAGTTCAGCCATGTTTGATCCACCTTTATTTACTGTGTATGTTATTACATGACTTTATCTTGTGAGAGTTTTTCCTCCTTGGATGAAAATGGGAAACTTTCATTAAGAAAGTTTCTTTTTTTTTTTCTTTTGATTTTTCACACTTGATATAACACATAAAATAACACTGGAGTTATTTTTCATACAACTCTTTAAATTACGCTTTCATTTAGTCGGTGTTGTGTCTTGTGTCCATTTTTTCCCAGTTCTTTTTTAAATGATTCTCTGACTCTCAAAAAATAAAGTCAACAATTTCCATGATGAAAATGTCATGGACGATTTCCAGCCACTGTTCCTGATTTGAAGCGTTTACAGAGATGAACAGATCCCTGGCTGTCGTTCGGATCCTCTATTTTATATTTTATTTTCTCCTTCACTCAGCAATAACATGTTGTTAATCCTGTATTATATATAACACCGTAGGTATAAGGTATGTGGACTGTAAACTAATGTGTGCAAGAAGAAAACAGTAAGAACAAGTTTAGCTCGTCTGTTCTGTAACTGTAGGTGCACAGTGTCTAAAATACTTCTTCCACTGCACCTACATTAAATACCAGGAGGAAACGTTAAGTATATGATGCATTGCCCTGTAAATTGAGGGCTGTGTTATAAAGTTTATTTATTATCCCGTTTATTCTTATCTCACCTGTAACGTGTCTGACCTCTGACCTCTGACCTCTCAGCTCCTGAAGGACTTCCCGGATGAGCTGCGGGCCGACATCGCCATGCACCTGAACAAGGAGCTGCTCCAGCTGCCGCTGTTCGAGTCGGCCAGCAGGGGGTGCCTGCGCTCGCTCTCCCTCATCATCAAGACCTCCTTCTGCGCTCCGGGCGAGTTCCTCATCCGGCAGGGGGACGCCCTGCAGGCCATCTACTTCGTCTGCTCGGGGTCCATGGAGGTCCTGAAAGACAACACGGTGCTGGCCATCCTGGGTGAGTCAGAGCAAGAGGAGGTCACGTGTCATTCACATGTCGCGGATCCTCAAAAGGGAAATGTTTTGACTCATGCTCTTCTGTTGATGTTCCAGTTATTTTCCTGTTTGAGACATCTCTTTCTCCGTCTAGCTTCAAATTAATGAGGAAACGGGATCAAGAAACTGTCAATGAAAAGGCTTTATCTGAAACTCTGCAGTGTGAGGTTTGATTTGTTTGACTCTCAGATTGTAAAACGACACACTGGTTCCTCTAATTAGACTAAAAAGCAACGAGGGTGGTTTGTTATTTGAGGGAAATTATGCGTAAATTTGTGATAGAGAAGTGGATGAAAACAGCTCTGATCTGACAATTACCTGTCAAAGTGAGGCTTAATGAGAGGATGTGAGATGATCATGATCGGCGGGACACGGCGTCGCATCGTTAATGAAGGTGAGAGTCGTTAATTTGACGAAAGCTCTGATAAGATTCAGGAGAATGTGTCTGTTTGATATTAAATGCTGCTGATGAAGTGAGGACTCTGAAGAAAGAGAGAGATCACGTCTCAGTTCACTGATTACAGTTCAGATAATCTCACTTTTCTGTGTTTAGTTTCATCCAATCAGACCTGCAGAGCAACTGGAACTGGGTTTGAGTGGAAATTAGGTTGATGAGGAGGAGGAAGGAGGAGGAGGAAGAAGGAGGAGGAGGAGGAGGAGGAGGAGGATGGAGGAAGGAGAGAGGAGGAAGGAGGAGGAGGAGGAGGAGGAAGGAGGAGGAGGAAGGAGGAGGAGGAGGAGGAAGGACAGAGAGGCAGATGAGTGTATATCGTTCAAACAACGAGGAAGGCAGGGCTGAAAAAGAGCTGATAAAGAGCCTGTTGTTTGTGCTCGGCTGCTTTAAAGAGTTATCACCATGCTCGACACACACACACACACACACACACACACACACACACACACACACACACACACACAACCACACACAGAGTCGAGGCTTCCCACTGTGTTGATCCTGCGAACCACACACAGTAATCCTTCACTGCAGTGTGAACAGAGATGTGGGACGTCTTGTTATCAGACCTCACATATGGCCGAGTACAGACACTGAGAGATGAATGAATGAGTGAGTGAATGAATGAATTAAGGAATGAATTAGGATGTTTGTGTTTGTGTAAATGAATCAATAAATACAACATGAATGGGACATTTCATTATCGTTCATTGTGTCATGTTTCAGTCTTTGTAAACATTAAACTTCCTCCAGACGTGTTTTCAACTCATATTCAGTGAAAATTCACTATTTTCACTTCCTGTCTCCTCAGTGGGCGTGGTCATGATTGCTTGTTCATGTCAAAACAAAACAACAATACAATGATTTTGACGCTTGTTTTTATCCGGATCGGCCCTATGACCCCGCCCACCACCACCTGCTCTCTCCAGGTGGACAGGTGAGAGAGCAGAGAGCATCACGATGGTGAGAGGAGGAACCATCAGAGACGCTCAGCCACATGTTTGAGCCTCAGTCAGACCCAGACTCAGAGGAGTCTGTTGTATCAGAGCGGTTAGCGCTGTTAGCATCATTTACTTGTTTATGTTGTTTGTTAGCTTGTAACTGGCAGTGGCTGACACAGTGTTAGCGGTTGTGCTAATGCTAACTCTCGCTCTCTCTCTGTACTGACAAGGTTTCAGGTTTATTTAGCCCCGCCCCCCCCATCCCAACAGAGTGACCGGATTGGTTCCTGAGGTTTGTGTTCTGTTTTCATGAGACTGTCGTTGGTTCACTGCAGTTTTCATATGTCTTGTATTATTATAAAAGAAAACATCACACGGATGTTGACAAGGTTAAACACTTGATTTTCATCGGATGTTGTCTTTAAAAAATTCAACCAAAACTTTTCTTGGTAATTATTAGTCCGTCATTCATTTTAAATATTCAATAAAAACAAGCTGTTCCTGTCTCTACCAGAGGTGGACAACAATCCCTAATGAGCAGCTCCAAACTTTGGTTAGGATATTCCTGCCTGGGGGAGAGACCTGTGTCCTAATGATCACAGCCGAGGCGACGCTGGCAGCAGCAGCAGCTACTGAGAATGAGTTTTGATTTGAGCATGAAAAAACATTAGTGCGCTGTATGGAGCCAAAAACCTGGAGAGAGAGAGAGAGAGAGAGAGAGGGAACATAACTGGTATCTTTTGCTCTGTACTGTGTGTGTGTGTGTGTGTGTGTGCGCGTGCGTGCGTGCGTGCGTGCGCGTGTGATCATATGTCCACACTGGCGTCGCTCTCCGGGGATGTGAGGGCGGAGCTGTGTTCCAGCGAAGGCTAATATTAAACAGGACTGATTTGCAGACAGTGTGTGGGAGGACGAAGCAGAGAGTCATGCTCTACACGGCCGCCTGCACCTCAGCCACAAATATCCCAGCTGCCACCGTCACGTTACATGTCATGTCTATACCTTCACTTCATGTTCATCAACTAAAGAGGCGCCGGGGTCGTTTTTCTCTCCTTTTATTCTTTTCTGGTCTGTTTGGTGTGGCGGCTTCACCTGTAGACTCCTACCTCATCTCAGTTCATTGATGGAGGCCCTTTAAAGCACATGAGTTTCATTTCACCCATTCATGATAACATAGATCTCTTCTGTGTACCTCACTAACGTACTGTTAGATGTTCCCCTGTGTTGAGGCTTAGTTTGGTTTCTCTTCGAGACTGATGCATGAAACTTACGAGCCTGCAGATGAAAGAGATGCGGCTCAGATTGACGAGGAGCGTCTCTCATCACTGTCAGAAACACGTATCTAAAAATCAGAAAAGTTAAAGCTGAATGTGCCTTAGGAACAAGGGCCAAAGATTCACGAGGAGTTTAAACATCTGAAGAGTTTCAGGCTCATAAACAAGCTGCGATACTCTGGTGCGATCGCAGCTGATCTGCCGTCTCAATAATCACAGCATGACTTCAATCAATCAAAAACAAAACACACACTTTACAGTAATTTTCCTGAGCAACCAATTAACAGTGACACTTTACAATGAAATAAAACAACAACCAGAAAGTGACTCGTTTGAGAAGCTGCAACTAGAAACTGAGCTGCAGTAACGTCCCACGACCGTCAAGAGTCAGTAAACCTACAGGCCGCTGCTTATTCTGTGTCTCCGTCATCGGCGTTTGCTGTGTAAGAGTTCGGAGAGTTGATGCGACACTTCCTCTCTGGTGACATCAGAGGAAGAGATTCGCTTTGTGACATAGTTATTTGTAGATACACGCAACAATTTAAGATTATAAAAAAAAAAGAAAATCAGATTGGAAAGTGTGTGGTCAGACAAGTTGTTGTACCTGTGACAACAGCTTAGAATCATTTCTGTAGTCAGCCGTCTCGCACGCTGAAATCTCATTTCCTCTGGTTGTGCTTCAGAGCCTTCACTACACTAATCCAGCAAACAGAGCGCACGTCTCCGAGATGTGCCTGTGTGAATGGGTAATACACACAGTGATGGACAGAGAGGGGGGGGGGGTTCACGTTTGTGACAAGGACAGATTCACATGTCTCAAAAGTCAGTTCCTTGAAAGGTCAAGATGTATTGTATTAATGGTTTGTACCTGTGCACATGTATTTCTATGTGTGTGTGTGTGTGTGTCTGTGTGTCTGTGTGTGTGTGTGTGTGTGTGTGTGTCTGTGTGTGTGTGTGTGTGTGAGTTGAAGTGGATTTATCTTCAAATGCCAAGCCCCCGGCCCATATTTGATCTTGATGGTGACACACACACACACACACACACACACACACACACACACACACACAAACACACACATCAATAGACAAAGTGTGGTGCTGTGCTGGTGTTAATAATTAATAGATTTTACATTATTAAAGCAGCTTGATTATTAATGCTGAAGTGTGGTTGGAGCAGAGCCATGCACAGTCCAGGAAGCTCTCCGTCACGGTGCAGCCCGTCATGGCCGTCACCAAGAACCTGCTTCTACAGGACGTACAGGTTCATCTGCAACTGACCCGACACAAACACACCTCCGAGTGTTCAGGTGCGACCAGTAGATCAGACATATCCAGCCCCATGTTACACACTGTGTAATGTTTACACACTCTTTACACTACCAGCAATATCATCTCGAACCAGTGGAGTCCATGTTTATCAGAGCTGAACTCCTCCCCCACAGAGACGTCATCCATCAGAAGATTTATTTGTGCTTTTAAGAACCAAAAACCATCTCAGTGTAGTTTTACATCTCCTCTCTCAGGCTTCTCTCTGGAGCTCTAGTAACAACAGGTCAGTGAGCCAATCAGAAGAGAGGAGGCTCTGAGCCTCTCTTCTGATTGGCTCACTGTTTTCTGAGCGATCCAATAAAAATATAGCAGATTTCAGGTAAAAACACTCAGAGAAACCAAATCCTGCAAGGTTTGGATGGTGGGTCCAGGTGGGCGGGGCTTGGGGCATGGCTTAGATCAGTGACTTCTTTGTTGTGACATCACAAAGTTACAGAAGTCCTGACATTTTAAAATGGCGTTTTACGATCTCTGTCCAGACCACCGTTTTAGCTCCACATCAGAGCCTTTGATTAGTTTCAGAAAATACTCTGAACGATGAACAGCAAAGACAGTTGTAGCGTTAGAATGCAGAATTAAACCAAACAACAAGGTCAGTAACGCTTTTATTTCATTATCCAATGTCGCTTTCACCCCTGGTAGTCGAGGCTGATGAGACCCAATCAGGGAGCGGCTGTGGGTGTCTACGCCCTCGTTTCCAAAGGTCTGAATACAGGCTGTGTGCATTTCTCTGTGGACTGAGGCTTTGATACTTTCACAGTATTAATATAGAAGCTAGAGCTGATCTATAATCACACTACACATGGACAGAGACCTTTACACTGGGTGGGACCTTTAACTGGCTGCAGCGTGTGCACTGGATGTGTGAAAAAAAGGTGTGTAATTGCTCCATAAAACATCTGGATCTATGCATGACAGGCGTGATGTGGTGCAGACACCTGTTGGGCCAATCGACACCCAAGACTAATGTCATTAAAACAGGAACGGTGATTTAACGCTTACATCAGCTCGCAAATTTCATCGACCTAAATTGACCTTTACCTCGACCGTCACACTGAATCAGTGTAATGTATGGAGGAGTGTATTATTTAGAATTGGATTAATGGTGTGTGACTAAAGTAAAAGATTGACATTTTATTTCATAACACCCCCTGTTAGGCCAATCTGCATAATCTGTTTGCATGTTGGTGTGTGTTTGTGAAGGGAAGGCCTGTTAGTGTAACACAGCTGAAGATCATCCCACTCACCTATGTGTCTTTTTTCCAAAATAAGAGAATAAATACATGAAATATTTGGTGAAGTTTTGCATTTTATAAGCAGCAGAATCACCGACATTGATAAAACGAGCTTCTTTCATAAGCTTTTGTTCCCTGACGTCGTCTTTCTCACCTTTACTGAGACCCGCGCTGAAGACGAGACGGATACACACTCCTAAATGTCACTTTCAAGTATTCATCTCCTGCTCAGTTTAACATTTCACTGTGATTATAAGAAGAAAAAAGAAAAAGCTTTTCCCTTACGCTGCCGTCACTCTCAGCTCCAGTGCCTCCCATCATCTCTGTGACCAGGATAATTCGAGCTGAACTGCGGTGGTGGTGATGGGGAAAGAAAATGGAGGAGCGGAAATGCCTCTGATGTAAAAAAGACAGGGAGACAGACGGAGCATGTGAAGAGCCAAATGAAGTAGAAGCACAGATGGGGGTGTGTGTGTGTGTGTGTGTGTGTGTGTGGGGGGGGGGGGGGGGGGGGGGGGGGGGGGGTGAGGACATGAGGTTGCAGGAGGCTGTTGTAAGTGCAGCAGGATGTGGAGGTGGTTGGAGGTTCAGGGGAGGGGTAGAGGGCCGTGTCCAATGGCTGCTGTTGCTCTTGTAGAAATGCTCCGAGCCTTTCCTCACCCTGCCTCTCCCCTCCCCTCTCTCTTTCTCACCCCGCCCATCCATTTCCCCTCAATCAACCTGCGCCAGTCTGCGGCCACCCCCACACCGTGTCCCTCTCCAGTTCCCTTCATCTTCACATCCTCCCTCTTCTCACTCTTCCTCACTCTCCAGTCACCCCCCCTCCTCCCCCCCAGCCTCCCTCCATCTTGCCTCTATTCCCTCTCTGCTCCTCTGTGCCTCCCTTTCCCTCCCCCCCTCCACTCTGTTCCCGGCTGTGTGGCTGTTCAGCCCTGAAGCTCTTTGTTTGACTTTTTCCCTTTTTTCTCTCCTCCTAATACTGCACAGGGCTTTGTCTGTCAAGAGCCTCACAAATTAATGTTGCACCACATACATTTTCTTTTTCTTCTTGGCATCACACACAGTAATAATCTTTCTGAAAATGATGAACGGTATGTTTCCACACTGTTGAACTGAGCCTGAACCTGAGCAGCAGCAATCTTGAGTACCGCCTTTACTTGTACTGTGAAATGCCGACAGACAGCGTCAGGATTCGCTGACAAGACTCCTCGTCAGGGATTTTTAAAACTAATCCACTCAGATGAGATTACCTCAAAACAATTAGTGGATGGTGGCCATGTTTTGTTCTGAAAAATAATCGTCTGCACTGATCCCGCTCACTGTGAGGATACACCAGAAAAGGAAACTGGAAATGGTTGCACCACAAGTCGCTTTCAGTTAGATGGTGCTTCTGAAAGGTTGTGGACTCACAGAGACTAATTCAAAGAAAGCAGCAGATATCTCACAGCCATGTCAACAAACTGTTGACAGAATAGCTAAAAATGCGTCATCACTGACATTAAAATCAGAATGAAATCCAATAACAACACTTATACAATCAATTAAGCTCATTTTATAGAAGATATACAATGCTTTCATTCCACCTCGCCGTTCTGTATAGTGCATCATTGTTCCACCTTTAAAGCTCCTCCAGTGTAAAGGTCTGTGTCCATGTGTAGTGTGATTATAGATCAGCTCTAGCTTCTATATTAATACTGTGAAAGTATCAAAGCCTCAGTCCACAGAGAAATGCACCCAGCCTGTATTCAGAAACTGAGCCTTAAAACCAGCCGTCAGGACTTCTGGAACTTTGTGATGTCACAACAAAGCAGTCACCAAGCCCCGCCCACCTGGACCCACCATCCAAACCTTGCAGGATTTGGTTTCTCTGAGTGTTTTTACCTGAAATCTGCTATATTTTTATTGGATCAGTCAGAAAACAGTCAGCCAATCAGAAGAGAGGCTCAGAGCCTCCTCTCTTCTGATTGGTTCACCGACCTGTTGTTACTAGAGCTCCAGAGAGAAGCCTGAGAGAGGAGATGTAAAACTACACTGAGATGGTTTTAAATATATCTTCTTATGGATCAACACTTTGAGCTTTCAGCTTTACGCTGTTAGTGGAGTTCGTCACAGAGCTGGATTGACGTATGTGCAGGGCCAACATGGCGGGAAAGGACGTCGACGCTGTTCTGTTGAATATCACGCCTCTGATTCATGAAAGCTAGCATGCTATGCTATCTAAAAATCACACACCTGCTTGGTTTGGTCCAATATGGTGGGATCTCTGTTTAAAAGAGGCTCTTTGAAGCACTTTATTTTTCTGAAACCAACTACTGCAGATCAGCCACATGCAACCAGCAACAAGCATCACTTTGACATTGAGAAAGTTTGTGTTAGCGCTGCTCAGTGCTGCTTTGTGCAGGTAGTGTATCTCTTTGTAAACGAAGACGAACTTTTATACTGGGGAGCAATGAGTTCCCAGGTCCATTAAACATACAGTCCAACACACTCTCCCACCCCTGCTGTTGAATTGACTTAGCAGGTCCATTCCTTTCATCTCTTGTCTTTAATGATCTGCAGCTCAGACAGTCTGTGTTTAATTGATTTAACCGGCTTCACTTGCTGATCCCTTTCTCTCAGGTGGAGACGGCTGCTGGAAACACACTCATTCAAAATCACTGCTTTTTGAGAAATAAACGTGTCTCTCTGTCGGTGCTCCTCCCCAGGCAAAGGAGACCTGATTGGCTCGGACTACCTGACGAAGGAGCAGGTGATCAAGACCAACGCCAACGTCAAGGCCCTGACCTACTGCGACCTGCAGTACATCAGCCTGAAGGGCCTGCGCGAGGTCCTCCGGCTCTACCCCGAGTACGCCCAGAAGTTCATCAGCGAGATCCAACACGACCTCACGTACAACCTGCGGGAGGGCCACGGGGCCGATGTGAGTTTGTGTGTGTTCCCTCAAATTACCCCTTCAGGGAGCTGAGATGAATTCATCACAGGTTAAACTGCCCCCTTGTGGGCGTCAGACAGAAACAACATAACAGCCCTGACTTCATCCAAAACTGAGGATGAGGAACGGGTTTTGCAGGTGGCATGAAGACTGTGGTGAAGACTGTGTATTTATAAATGCACACAGACAAAGTGTACGCCATGAAACCCAGCAGATCAGTCGCACCGCAGCCCTGGAAGTGCAAACTGAAAATGAAATTTTGTAAGGCGATAACGTGTAGCCTGAGGAGACGCTCACCTGAGGAGGACGTCTCGTGGATAAAAGCTGAGCGTGACCTCGCCACCACTGCTTGAAATGCACACACACGCACACACACACACACATCTGTGCACACATCACAATTTGACAAGTCGAGCCTTGAAGGGCTTTTTCTCAACCCCTGCCATCAAATACACAAACACAAAGCCCTGCACCTCTGGCTGGTGCAGCAGCAGCAGAGGGAGCAAAACACAGGGACAAGAATAACTCAGTGCTGCTGTTTGAAGCTGTCCTACTGCTAAAAATAGAGCAAGGGGGGAAGCACGGGCTCTCCCTGACTGGCTGTGTCCCCTGCAGCTGTTGCTAAGATTGGATCCTGCTCGATATAAATAGCCCAGCCAGTCGAGGAGAACAGGGAGGAGGAGGAGGAGGAGGAGAGAAGAAGGGGAGGGGGGGGGGGGGGCTCTATCTCATTTTCTTTTCTACTCTTCCTCATATAGGCTACCTCCTTTCCCACTGCAGTGCCATTTGTTTCTCTGGGGTTCAGCACGCTTACTGCAGAGTGAGAGCGAGGTGCAAATGTGTGCTCATGTCAGTGTGTGTGTGTGTGTGTGTGTGTGTGTGTGTGTGTGTGTGTGTGTGTCCAGATGCGCAGGCTGCAGCCCATACCTTGGGTCTGGGTTTCAGATGGCCATCCTGCTTATGCATGTAAAATCCCTCTGGTAGCAGCAGCAGGACACACGGCAGAGTGTGTTTGAATATGTATGTGAGAGGAAACTGCTGCGACATAGAAAAATTCAGCACCTGTCTGCTCACTAGACAAATACGTCAAGAGGCAATCTCAGAGGATGAAGGGTGAATGGTAATGTTCATGGCAACAAAGAGGAGACGTGTCGGCATGTGGAGACTTAAACTGAACGGCAGGAGAGGATGATATGGAAGGAGGAAGGGAAGATGGGAAAGTGATGGTTGTATTTCCAGTGTGCGTCCCTGCTGAGTTACAGGCTCTCGTGACCCCGGGGCCTTGGGCAAAACAACGCAGTGTGCACGAGTAACCAGTCGAGTGGGGAGATCACAGGATGTTCTGCACCCTCGTGTTCTCTGCACCAGAAACATGACGAGGACGAACAATCTATCTCCACAAACATGCGGAGACAAACTCACACACACACATGCTCTGCTCACACTGCCGCGCCAATGATCACACACACACACACACACACACACACACACACACACACACACACACACACACACACACACACACACAAACTTCAGTACACCCACACACTCACACACGCACAGACGAGCGCACGGCGGCACGCGGCAAGTGCACACTTATCACGCCCCCACATCGCAGAGCATTCCTTGGTTTCCTCCGGAGCTGGGAGCTAAGATTAGAACAAGAGGGCTAAAAATACATAACGGTGGCAAGGGGG